AACAATGAATGAGCCAGAGTCAAACTATGGCAAGTTGAGGGAGGATTAGGACGAGGTCCAGAAGAGTTGGGGCTATTAGATGCTTGCTTTATTTTCTACAGCCCAATATTGCCATATGATATTACAGTGAGAGAGAAAAGGAAACTGGGCCAGAGGATTGAGCACAGGGAGGATTTAGGTTTAATAGGATTTTATTAGTCTCTAAGAAGAGGTTGTCTGAGGTAGTTTGACCCCAAAATGAAACACCCCCCCTTACTGCTATTAGTTATAATTGAGGGCACAAGGTTTGCCTCTCTTCAGGTGTTCCCAATATTTGACAAGTCTTCACCCGTAGATGGAATTGTACATGATAAGCACATTTACAGTAATAGATTTTTATGTGTTTAGTAGTAGCCAGTTCAGGGCATTCCAAAGTGCATTCTAAAACAATGAGTTTTTCTATTGACAGTTGCTTAAGAAAGGAAAAAAAAAAAACACTCTCAACCATGCAATTGTGTTTGATATGGTTGATTCTTATGCTGTGGATTCTTAAGTGAAATATGCTTTAATAGCAAAAAGAATGTAGATGGAATCCCATTTATAACTAGAATTCTTACAAAGATTTTTGTACAAATTATCTGCGTTTAATGATTATCTGATTACCCCTCCCCACTTAGTATAACAGTTGGGATAAAGTACGTAAAATAATGACTTTTGAGTTAGAAGAGACCCAAGAAATCATAATTTAGTCCTAACTGCCTACCTAAGCAAGGTTCCAAATAAAAAGTCCCACTTTTTACTGCAGGTTTCAAGCTGGTTAGAGCTAGAATGAGAGCCCTAGGGCCCTGTCTCTTAGCTCAAAGCTCAAGTTCCCAGGTTGGGACTTTAAATTTGTAGACTTTTAGTCTTGGAGAACTAAGCTAAAAACTTTTAACCTTTACCCTTTGCTCCCTTCTGTCTTTCCTTCAAATTTAAGATACTGATTTTTGATTTGGTAGCTCACTATGAAAAGACTAGGCATTGCTTCTCTTTTATCTCTAGGACTCTCCTACCTGTGTTCTTGACCTTACCTTTCTTTTCCTTTTGCTTCATCAAAATCTTTTTTCCTGTATATTCAAATTCTCCATGTTCATTGGTTCCTTTCCATCAGGCCTGCAAATGTGGTCACTATTCCCTTAATAAAAATGTTCCTTTGGCCCTGTCTCCCCTGAAGGTGACTATCTAATTTCTTTCTCATAAGGATTAAAACAAATTCATTATTAGAGGATATTATACTTAAATAGATAAAAGAATTGAAGGATGGTATGAGGTAATACATAACTAAATGCCAAAATGTTTACAGTCTGACAGTGAGAGAATGATTTATCAATATATAGTTATTGGTAATTGAGGGAAAAATGTGGTTTTGACACATTTATAGCTTTTCTAAGTATTGTAGCTTTCCAAAGAGTCTGAAGTTAGATAAAATGTCTGGAAATGGGGTTGATAAAATTTTGACATCAGAAAAGAGGTGTGATTTACATGACTGGAATCTAAGCTTTCATGATTGTATATTCATATATATTATATATTTTATAATTCTGTGATATGGAAACATATGCTTATACTTTTTCATCATCCATAAAAGATACATACTTTTAAAAAAGAGCAATCATAGATACATATGATTCTTAGGTCAGTTATTCCTGCCTCCAACAATATTTAATAGAGTTTTTTTTCCTTATTGATGGAAGATATTTTTACATACAATATTAATGAGGTATAAGTGTGACCACTTGGTAATACATTTGGAAATAATATAGTCAGTTCTCTTTGCTGTGTAGAATTTGTGCTGAAATAGCAGGCTGTTATACATATATTTTGACAGCTCATCTCTTCCTTGCCCACCCCCAACCAAAAAACTCAAGAATCACACCACAAACCCATATGCAACCAATGTTGAAAGCAGAGTTCTTTGGGAATTTTTTGGTGTTGGTGGTTTGTTTGAAGAAGAAGAAAAAAAATCACTCCTTGGGGCCTGAATAGTTTGCAGCAAGCCCCAACCTTTTCGGCACCAGGGATCAGTTTCATAGAAGACAAGTTTTCCATGGATGGAGGTGGGGTGGGGGGAGGAGGCAGAGCTCAGGTGGCGATGGGTGGTCCTGTTTTCCCATCAGGCCACAGACTGGTACCAGGCCGAAGCTGGGAGTTGGGGATCTCAGGTGTAGAGTTCTTTCTTAGGCATGAAATTCTAGCTGATATGTGTATTTATGGGAAGAACAGGCTGGATGTGTGCCAAGAGTGGCAAGCTTCACTCTCAGCATTTCCATCTTCGCATACCTTAGACTGAAGAGAGCAGAGGGCAAGAAAGGGGAAATGTCTGATACTGCCATACTCATAACACAGACATACATCCTAGTGACTGCAGCCCCTTTACCTGCTTATAGGTTTTGCTTCATTTTGTCCTCTGTTCTTTCTTCAATTGGGACTTTTAGCTGTGATTTGAAAATTAGCTTGGAATGGCTGCAAAAAAGGAAAAAAGTAAAGGCTGATAACAAAAAAATGCAGATAACGTATTGAAAACCTTGGTGCTTACGGATATATGTCCTTATAAATTTCTTATAAATATGGAGCTACCTTTTTCAGTTTTATATTGCCCTGGGGACATGTCAGTGTTTTAATGTCTAACTTGGGAACAAGAGAGAGAATGGAAATATCCAACTTTTTGGTGTCTGGGTGTGTTAGAATCTTCTGGCATAGTTTTTCCCTTTTCACATTTAGCTTATCTGACTGGCCTATCTCCTCCTTTATCTCCCTAGTTTTCTTTACATTATAGTTTCTGCATTCAAGACACATTTTGATTCTTTAGGCATCTGTCTCAATACTATGATTGGATAAGCATAAACCAAATGAGATATACTTTTCTTAGGGAAGATACAGATTCCTTAAGAGAATAGGATTATAGCCAGCAGAAAGAATATAGTTTCCTAGAACGAGCACTGGACTTACATTTTGTTTTCATCAAAACTAGCTTGTAAGTTCATGACATTGGCTAACATACTTATCCTGTCTGTACCACATTCTTGCATCTCTGAAAACTGTATGTAAATTCCCTTTGAGGACTAACTTAAAGGATCTTAGCATATGTGTCTATTTTTTATTTAGATGCATTTGGTATGATGTATAATAATATGTTCCTCTCATACTTTTGAAGAAGAATCTTAGAATCCTGGAGCTGGAAAGAATCTGGAGTAGTTTTGTAGTTTTTCAACCTCTGGGATAAACCAAAAGCACTTTGATTTTTCTCATTATTAGCACTATATCATCTGAATAAAAGGCCTATAGAATGTATAGGATAAGGAAGAAGCTGATTCCCAATAGTCCTTTATCTCTTACCACTTAAAACAGGGCTAGCAGGTAACCTGAATGAGGTGAGGAGACTGGCAGTAGGTCATGGGGAATGGCAGGGGCTGTGGGGACAGGAGAATGCATACCCTGAATGTATGTGGCGGCCACTCCCGATTTTTAAACACCAGATGAACCCTTTAAAATCTGCCTCTCAGTGGCAAGGGGCCATGGTTGGCCGTGGATAATATCTGTTGAAAACAACAAACGTGTATTATTTGGGATTTTAGTTGGTGAATTCAATTTTGATAATAAAACACAGTTATAGAAGATATATACAGGCTGTTTCCCTGAAGTATGTCATTTGTGTAGTCCTTCTTATAACAGGCCATTCTTTCTACATATCTTAATCTTTCTTCATTCTCCTTAAAAAAATGTTTCTTTCTGCAGAATTTTTATTGCAAGTTTACTGTTTTTAAGTCCTAAAAATCTTTTTAAAGATTTTTTAATGTTGAATAGTCTCTCCTCCCCACTAACAGAATTATTAATTTTTTATATTTCTTAATTATTTTCCAGTGTTTAATTCCACTCACCACAAAGAACTTAATCCTTAAGTCAAAGCGGAAGCCCCCTTTCTCACATTTTATTGTTTGTAGAGAGGAACAGTTGATCAGTGTTCTCCTTGTAATACCCTTCATCCTACTCAGTTGAAAATAGGTCCCCCCTTTTTTTTCTTTTGATAATATAAGTCTGCAAACTTTTTAAATGGATTTTGTTTTCCAGGGTCTCTGATAATTGTAATTACTTTTCTCTGAGCTCTCTCTAATCTTTATACTAAAAAAATAATATTTTGAACTACACTGAGTCCTTTTGTGGGCTGATCAAACTGGTAAGATAATATCTTACTGCATTTGTCAGAGAGTTAGCACCACACAAGTGGATCATATTTACTGTACACTCTGTGACCTCAATATCTTTTTTTCCTCTTACCAGCTGTGTTGTAGTCAGGATTTCTTCATATTTTAGCCACATAATTCATTTTTCATTTGTAAGTGTGCTACCTTGTACTCACACATAATAAGCACTATCTTGTTTTTGATGGATCATTTCTATCTCTGATTTGTCAAAGTTACTTGGAATTCTGTTATTTTTCAGAAAAGGGAGAAACCTTAACCTGGTTTATAGCCAAAAAATGACTAAGAATACTTTCAATTCCATGATGGCAGTCAATGATTTAGAAGAAAATATTCAATCATATTAGATCCAGGAATCTAGGTGCTATTTTATAATTCCCTCAAGTTAGATCCAGTCATTTATTTCTGTCGCTGTTAACTTACCGTTTTCCTGTTGCTGGGTGATTTTGAACTCTACAAAATTGGTATCACAGTTTCTTGCTTGATTATAGAAATGAGAATTGAGTGATTTACAATAGTAATTTGGGGTTTGTGGTTGTGGTAGAGAGAAGAAACCCCATAATTGTTTAATTTATGCATGTAGGTTAGGGTAGTATCATTACTTTGTATATTTGTAGTAGCAAGGTGGAAGAAAATAGGAAAGCCTTTACATTGAATATAAACATCTGTTTTATAGATTTTTTTTCTGTATTGGACTTTGAAAATGTCTTTGATTTAAATTTCATAGTTTCCTATTTAATATATGAACATAATGAGATCCATTTTTTGTTATTGTCATTACAGGTTTTGGAAGGTGACAATGAAACGTGAAGAAGTTATATTTCTAATATGATACTTGAAAGTTAGTGACTGCTTACCAAATTTTAATGAAATATGACTTAGAAGCATTGATTTGTGAAGGTTTATGATGTCATCGGTTTCAACAGAAAGCAAACTCCAGCAGGCTGTGAGCCTGCAAGGAGTTGACCCAGAAACGTGCATGATTGTATTTAAAAACCACTGGGCACAGGTAATGTATGAGTTCCCCTTTCTCTGCTGGTCTTGGTAGCCCAAGGGGCCTCCATCACACTGAACCAGGGTCTCCCACCTCTGTGGTAGGTACCTAGGTTTCCAGAAACATAAGGAGGGAAGCCCTTTCAGATAGGAAGAAAAGTAACTTTCTCTTTTTGCTTTCCTAGAGTAGGTATCTAATTGAAAACCATGGTTTTCATAAAAGCAATGAGGGAACATGCATGTTCCTCAGATATTTTTAGAAGAACAGCAGCTATTCCTTAAAGTGACTTTTAACATCACTTTGCATACTTGACCATAATTACATCCTTTCCCTTTCTTTCTTCCCTGATTTTCATACAGTTCTTAAACTCTAATAATAATAAAATACGCATTTATTAAACATTTACCAAGTATGTGTTTAGTACTTCAAATACCTTATATCATTTAGTCTTCTCCGCAAACCTATAAGGTAGCTGGTATTAGCTTCCTCACTTTACAGATGAAGGAATAGAAAATTACAGAGGTATAATAACTTGCTTAAGGTTATATAACTTTTGAATTACCAAGCCAGTACTTAGATCTTAGTCTCTTGACTCCAAAGCCCATGTATTTGACCTCTTCAGTCTACCATTCTTGTGATGGTGGTCCTTATGTAATTAAAGCAAAGAAGATGCTTGACTATACCTGAATATATGCCTTCTTTATTACAAAGCTGATTATAAAATTTTTTTGATTATTTATCTTGACTTCTATAACTCTGATCTGCTTGTGTGGATAATTAAGGGTTGAATGTTTAGAAATTTACCAGCTCACCCCTTTCCTCAGGGAGTTTATAAGTAGTAAAATAAACAAAATTGGCATTCTTTACTATTTGTCCAACCTGCACTCCCCAGGTGAGCTGGTAAGTGGCTATTTATGTGACAGCTTTTAAATGACTACCCAGTTTCTTCCTGTGGCTGGAAACAGCAAATAGGTTAAAGCACTAAGCTTGTAAATCACAGCAATTATAGGGGACACAGTTTAGACCAAAAATGAACAAAATCAATTCTGCTTCAGGGTCATTTATACTTTGTAGCTTCTTGTCACTATCCAGTGTAAAGCTTCCAAGATTTTTTTGTGCATTTTGAATTCTCTGAGTTTTTACTGTTAGAATTTTCATGGGTTTGCTATGGACATTAAGGGTACATCTGCTTTGGTAAAGGGAAGAAAGTTTTAAATAATTTAGGAGCTTTCTATATAATTAGAGTAATTACCTTTGGCTTTGCACTTTTATAAGTATTTTAAAGCAGTGGCACTAAAATGGGGTGGCGAACCCTAAGAGATGATTCCAGTAGTCCGTTGGGTGTGGGAAGAATATTTTAGAAGGCCTATTTCTATCTTTATCTTTTAAAAATTTCTATTTTGTGTTTATAATGTACATATAACATATTTGTATATTGGCATATGTATGTTTATTAATTTAATTATTTTCACTCAAAATTTTAACTGTTAGTACATAATCAGATGTTTTGAATTGAGAACATTTTCAGCTCCAGTCATTTTATTTGCCTGATGATGCCTATCATTATAATATGCAATCTTTGTTCCTGGCCCCATTTTGTTTATTTGTTTGTGTATAATACCTTTGATTATAATCATTTCTGCTGGGGTAGCTGTGATATGATCCATTTAGTGTTCTGTAACACTTTTTAAAGACATGTGTATCATCAACTTCTTGATTATATGTGAATCATCTGCCCTATCAGATTCTGTCCCAGACAAGCATTCTCCAAAGCTGTGAGAGTGCTGTGAGAATGTCCTAATTCAGGAGTGTGTCAGTACTTTTTCACATTGTTGGAAGAGTAAATATTGGTCCCAGAATCATATTACTCATTTCTATAACCAATATGAATGACTTCAGCATTATCAGACATTTTGGATTATCTGACGCTTAGTACAGACACAGAGTACCCTCCTTTTAGTACAGAAAAAAATTGAGTTGAAGGTAAGGATAACTTTGTCAGAGGGAATGGTGTTTAGTCGTTAAACATTTCCTTCTGTAAAGTGGGAACACTCTTGGTCGTATTGTTGGCTCAGCCATTTCTTTAACTTTGGGCAGATTTTTTCTTTTAACTTTTTAGGCTGACTTTTCCTTTTGAATAAATCTGGAGAATGCCCTTAGTCTCTATCTACAGAGGCTCCTGAGGGCCTTTCTGTTACTTTTATGAATGAAAACACTGGTTGAAGAAATTTTGTGGGTGTCAAAGTTGTTAATGTTCAAATGAGATTTACTGAGCCCACATTTCAGGTATGTCAGAATAGGTGTCACAGGTGGGACTTAAGATGTGTAAGCCATGGTCTGGGCTTTTAAAGACTATATAAGCTCATTTAGATGATGATGGATGATGTAGTATTATAAAACAAATAATGATTATAGTAATTAAGTCAAGAAAATATTGATTATAGTAATTAAATCAAGAGGAGGGACAATTGTGGCTGGAAATGGCCTGGAAAAAGGAGAAACTGAGATTTGCTAGCTTGACTATGGAAAAAGAAGGTTTTGATGACAGAGAAGAAGAGAATATTTTAGAGAAGGGATATTGGGAACAAATGCTCCCAATTTTGGTTTTTTTAGATAGTAAAAAAAAAAAAAAAGGAAGGTGAGGCAAAAAATAACAGTGTAAGGCAGAGAAGTGGGACCAAATGTGAGATAAGGAATGGGAACTTCAGTTGATAAAGATGAGTGATGTTTATTCATTGTTTTGAGGTTTTATACATTAGCTCTTTGCTGTGAGTTGTTGACGCTAGGGGTGAATGAAGAGCAGTTGCAGAGGGTTGGGAAATGAGCTAAAGTTTGATATAAACTCCTATGACTACTGTGATAGCAGCCTCTGGGCTCCCCTGAGGCAACCCAAGAAAACCTGTAAGGCTGGTAAGAAATGAGGCATAGACAGAGCTGGCCAACAACATTTTATTTAGTGTGGTGTTCTGTTACTTGCCTGGTACAATGGTTTTTTTATATGTTAAATTAGGAAAAATAAAGATTAAGAAAGCTTGTGGTATCCTGAATTCTTGTCTTTGTTAGGATACTTATGTATAAATTCAACATAATTAATATGTATTAGATAGGTTCTTATTTACTATTTATTAGTAGCCGCTATTCTAGAACCGTAGTTAAAAATCTAACATTGATAGAGAATGATATCTACTTGTCCACTTATACCTTATAGTCTGTCAGGGGCAGCTAGTTATGCAACCAGCCATCATCCAATCAGTCTGTGATTCGGGGGGTTGCCAGGGGAGAGACCTTAAACGGCCCAGTGGTGCACTTGAGTTTTCCAGCTGTTCCCTGAGTCCAGTGATCTCATGGCATCCCCAGAATAGTTCTAGAGTAGACATTCAGGAAAAGTTGAATTCCTAATAATGACACTGGAGAATCCAGGCTATAGGAAGCCGTCCCTGGCCTGTACTTCCTTTTGCTTTCTGAGATGCTATCTTACTCCTTAAGTTGCTAGAGCAGTGAATCTAAAACCCAGATCTGTCTGGGTCCTTCCTCTAGTTGGACCCTTTAGTGGCATCTGGCCACCTATAGGCCAGGGACAGCACGTAGCATTCTTTCTGTGTTGGCTTCTGTTACCGCCTGCCTTTCATTTAGTCTCCAGAAATGCAGAGTTGCCCCCTGCCCTGGGAAGTGCCCATCATGCTGTTTCATGTCTCTGTGCCTTAGGCACTTGCTCTTCTTTCAGCCTGAAATATCCCTCCCCCTGGTTAAATTCCTCTACTTTTACAGGCCTCATTTAGGGGCAACCTAGGAAACCTTCCCACCTTCTCTCATACTTTAATATCACCTTGAGTGTTCTTTCACCGTTCCAACAAAGACCTTTTATATAATTATTAATATTACTTTTTTAGAGACAGGGTCTTACTCTGTTGCCCAGGCTAGAAGGCAGTGGCTGTTCACAGGCGTGATCATAACACACTATAGCCTCAAACTCCTGGGCCCCAGTGTCACTCACACCTCAGCCTTCCGAGTAGCTGGGACTACAGGCCTATGCTACTGTGCCTGGCCCAACCAACTAAAATTACATGTATAGTAACTTCCCAACTTCATTACAAGTTCCTCAAGATCAGAGGCATTTGTAGTTTTTCTGTATCTCCAGTGCCCCAAATAGAGTGTAGGATTATTATGGATGGTAATTAAACCGTTGAACTGAAAGGCAGGCAATATGGAATACAACTTTAGATGACCTAGGCAACTTAGAAAACAGCTTCGAACATACACTGACTTTAAAACATTGTATACTTTTCTACGGGTAAGATCTTTGGACTTGCATTCAGTGATTTGGAAGAGTGTCTATACGTGTTTAATTTTTATAGTGGTCTCTAGGAATAGTTTATTATTTGGTGGACTTGTTTTTATCTTTTGCCTTTGTGTCTTTGCTTTTTCTGAATGGAAGAGAGGACAAAAATTGTAAGAAGCATTTTGTCCACCAGGTTATAAACTATTCAAGTGTACTGCTATGTGAATTAAATCCCCTACACTAGTTATTTTTAATGGCACATTTGTACTTTGTGAAGCCTCATAGACCTTGCTCTATTCTCTGTTCCCTTTAAGCATTGAATTCTAAATGATGTCTGCTCTTAGAGCCAGGAGAACAAAGGAGGTAGGTTTGAAAAAAAATCAAATGAACTGGGCTCAGTGGCTCATGCTTGTGATCCCAGTGCTTTGGGAGGCTGAGGCAGGAGGATCACTTGAGGCCAAGAGTTTGAGACCAGCCTGGGCAACATAGCGAGACCCCATCTCTAAAATAATTTTTTAAAAATTAGCTAGGCATCGTGCATGCACCTATGGTCCTAGCTATTTGGGAGGCTGAGGCAGGAGGATTGCCCAGGAGTTCAAGGTCATAGCAATCTACACCGGTAATTGTGCCACTACACACCAGTCTGGGTGACAGAGTGAGACTGCCTCTTAAAAAAAAATTGATTGAAAATGCACAATCCTGTCTTTGCTTCTAGTTTGTTGCTAATAACCCAGAG